TCAAAAGTACTCTGCAAACCCAGAAATGTAGTAGCAAATCTAGTAGCACCAAGTCTCACTATTTCTTTCCAATTCTCCTTTGTCTACAACCAGAAATAAATTGGACCATGATTGTAAACAAATTTGGAGACCTTGGTAGCTCGATAGTCAATAGCTTCTGCATGTTTTTGCTCACCTCTTCCGGAACACTTGAGCATATTGCATTATCCCCACTAACACCAGTTAGATGTTTTTTCATTCTAGTGATTCCTCCGCCTCTAAATTCTTTTTGACAATAGAGACAAGTAAGTACCTCCACTTTTCCATCCTGATGCAAGGAACAATGAGCCCAAGTTGGATCACTTTTGCCTCGTACACCCTATACGGTAACCTTTAGATTACTAGCAGTTGCTCCTTTATCAACCGATTCGGCTTCTTTTCCACTAGCCATTGCTGTCAAAACAGCCAAAATTCTCATTAGAATAAAGGGCAGAACATTGAAACAATGGCCTGCAAAATGACGGCAACATTTTCAGGCCTGCAAAATGAGAATAATCAACAATGGCCGCCCTGAAACAGACGCTAACAAAATGGGAACACTTGTATGTAAACAACAAAAGTTAGTCTTTGTGCTTGGTGTGCCACTCGGGGGACAAAACAAGACAGGAATTTGAAGGAGGGAGCAGGCCATTCAAAGAGTTCAAGTTTGCAGACCTCAGAAATCCAGGAGCAACTGGGGAAGAATTATTTCGAAGTGGGTGGCCTCAATTTTGGTCTCTCCCTCGGCCTCAGCGATCGTTGCCGCACGCTGCACAGCTTCTGCAAATCAAATTGAAGATGGCGCAATTGAGGAGTGGAGGATCGCCGGTCGCCGCTTGCCTGGTCGCCGGTCGAGAAGAGGAGGATCGCCGGTCGCCACTCGAGAAGAAGAGGAGGGAGGACCGCGGTCCTTGTCGCCAGCAGCAGCAAACGAAAAACGAAGACTGCGGCCGATGATTTAGGGTTTTGTATTTTAGGCTTCGGTCGATTTTTTTTTCCTAATGCCAAAACGACGCCGTGTCCTTCCCATCAGCTTACCCCCGGTTAGACCAAAACCGAGCGGTTTTTTGAATTGAACCGATTTTACCAGGAAAACCGACCGGAACGATTTTTTCACTACATAACATCTACCGTATCGGCCAGGTGCAGGTTTCCGGTTTTACCATTTCAACCGGCCGGTACGATCCGGTTTCCTTTACCATGGTCAAATGTCGGGTGACGATAGGGGTGTTCAAACGGTGTGGTTACCATGGTAACCGTTTTAACCAGTACTATTTGGATAATTTGGTTTGGTTAATTTGGAAAATTGGTTTGGTTTGGTTGAATTTCTTAGCTTGTTTGTTTTAGGTGGTTTGGTTTGGTTTCAGACACTCCTAACGAGCCAAACCAAATTAACTAGATAAATAATTAGTCATATATCTAACATATACACATACTTAATACTTTGAATAACTACTCAAGAGTTAAACGTTCATCCCTTTTAGACTCATAAAATATAAAGCTTGATATTGTTCCTATAATGTATATTTGTATATTTAGAGTCTAGACCACAACATATGAAACGCCTAGTTTAGATAAATCTCGTACATTTATGTTGGATGAAAACTTGAAAGCAAGGTCCTTTTCAGCCTATGAAAATTGCTAAAAGACTAAGTCAATTCAAACAAACACAACAATTCATTAACCCATACCATTGTGATAAATTTTTGTTAGCCGAATACTTCTATACCAACCGTAAGTTAATTGTCTTAGTTGCATGTATTTATGTTAAGGGTCAACTATAACTATGGGTTGATTGTTATGTTTTATTCATTATATAAATTGTGAATTGATAAATTAACTGAAATTTTTCTCACTTAATGATAATGTGATTTTATATTGGTTAATCTGGTTAACCAATTAACCAGGCCAATTAAATTTTAGTTTAGTTAATTTGGTTGTTATATTAGTTTGGACGGTTTGGTTAATAATTGTATTTCATGGTTAATGAAATTTAGCCTTATTTGATTTGGTAATAACCATGGTAACCATTTGAACACCCCTAGGTGACGAGGTACAAACCGCTGGGGGGGGGGGGGGGGTTATGTGTATCGACATGGTAAACCGCTTCCCTGTGGAGCGTTTTACCTTGTCGACACATAACCGCTCCCAGAGGACGCGGTTTATGCTAGGCCAACCATGGATTCCGCTCCTTCAAAGAGTGTTTTTTCCAATAAAGACAAACCGGTTGTCTTGCAGGCGGTTCCATGGTAAACTGCCGCCTGGGTGGGCGGTTTCTCTTTTAACCTCCCCTGCCTGGAGCAGTTTTAAATAAATAGTGGTAGATTTGGAATTTCTTCGGTATGGGTGGTAGTTTTGTAATTTTTTTTATATAGTGGTAGTTTTGGATTTTTTCCACGGAAAGCTGTAGAGAAGGGAGATGACAGCCTACAAAACAAATTGTGGATAAAAAGGTCTGCTACGCCTCAAGCTATGTCTCGGGCGGGGGACAAAGGATCCAAAGAGAGCTAAAATACAAAAGGAAGCGAAAAAAATCTCTCCACCCTGATTCTTTGTTTTGTTAATCTTACTCATTAAATGGGATAAATGCCACGTGGTCATTGAGTTTACTAAAACGTGTCATATAGGCACTCAAATTAGTAAAACAGTTCATGTTTGGTCACTCTCTGTTATCTTTCGTTAGTCTTCGTTAACACCGTCAGACATTTGCTGACATGGCTAACGGAAGTACTGAATCGCCCAATTTTAACTTGCCACATCACCAAACTCGACCCACCATGTCATCTTGCTCAACCCAACCCAGCCCAATCCATCTAATTGACCAAACCCGACCTAATAAGTGACCCAATTAAATTCCTAAAATAAGCCAATGTTATATTAATCCCCTCCATCTTCATTTAAATTTCTAGACATCTAGTGGACAAATTAATCCCCTGGAGCAACCGCCCCCAATGCGCATTCCCTCCCTACTGCGAATCCTTCTTCCACAAACCCACCGACTGCTGCAGTAATGATCGCACCATCGTCAACTTACTCGCTCAATATCTCCACCTCCCTCTCCTCCTGGCTTACTAGGGAGATCCTATCCCCACTGCTAGGGGGTGGCACGTGGGTGGTTAATCCGCGGTTTGATATAGATCCACCCGCAATTAACTCGACCCACAAATAGTGGGTGATTGATGTGGGTGGATTGCAGATTGATAAATCTCACACCCGCACTTATGTGAGTGGGTGGATTGCGGGTCACCTGAATGACCAACATCCTATTTTCACATGAAAAATATTGTTTCTTATAGGTACGAATATTCATCATATTTACGAACCACGCTATAGTCTCACCATATACTTCCAAGGGTGGAGAAAAAAAAATAGTTTTGACTATTATTATTGGATATTGTGTTGTGTAATATCCATTAGATATTGGATATTGGAATGTGAATTATTGTTAATATCCATTAAATATTGGGATAAAAACTATATATTATTAATTGTATCAAAATAAAAAATGCGTAAGTTTCTCTACACAATTGGATGGTAGAGTAGTAATTTTTTTCTATACAAACACCACATGGATTCACTTGAAACAAAGTGAGAAGTGTCTAAATTGATACAGTCTTCCGAATTAGCTATGAGCTTATTATAAATGTTAGTCAACTTTCTTAATTGTTTGTTGGAGAATTGCTTTTCCGAGTTACCCCACGATCCAACCGCACCCATCCGCCACCCACCCGACCCGACCCGCAGAAGAATGTCGGTGGATTGCGAATCACAATTATTCCAACTCGCTAGTAAGCGGTTTGGTCAATTTCAGACGAAAATCCACCCAACCCACCCATTGCCCACCCCTACACTGCCAATGCCAACAACACCTACTCCCACGGCGCCGGCCTCGCCGTCTTCTCTCCCACCGCCCTCAACTCTAACTAAACAGGAGGTGCCTCTGGTTGACAGAACTGCTCCCTCTCCGTCCAAATCAACTGGGTCAAAACCCTGGTCGACTCGCTCCACCCAAATATACCCAAACGTAGATACATGAAAAAATCCCTAATTCTTCTCGGCGGAATCGGCAACGTTGATAGAGCCACTGACGGAAGAAGCAGTAGCAACAATATCATCCGACTGAAGCATTCATACTCGTTTGGATTTGAGCAGTCGGAGAAAATGCTAGTGACGGAGCCGGCGACGGTGTTGCCATGGAGATCGAGCAAGAGATCATCGGGATGGAGCAAGCGGCCATCTCCTTTCGGATCGTATCTGTCGAATTCCAAGCCCAGATTGTTCTCGTCGTTCAGGTACTACTACAGATAAGGAATCAAATTGCCCTTCTTCATAGGGATATCTGGAGGCGAAGGAGGTTTCTTCCCACTTTCTGAGTGATTCCTAGCGCACCACTACCACAACGGCGGTTCTTCGAGACCAAGCAAATCCATGACGAGTATGATTTTCTTGAGACCGTTGTCATTTTTCTCTTCGAGCCGGCTAAGGTCTAGGGATCCGGAGGCCCTAATTTCTCTGGACAAGCAACAGTCAGAGCTTGACGACGGGTTGGGTCACGGTTGGGAAGGTTTGGGTTGGGAAAATGATGTGGTGGGTAAAAATGACATGGCGGGCCGGGTTTGGTGATGTGGCGGGTTAAAATTATGTGATTAAGCACTTCTGTTAGTCACGTCAGCAAATGACTGACGGTGTTAACAGAGACTAACAGATGGTAGCAGAGAGTGACCAAATGTGAACCGTTTTACTAATTTTAGTGACTAACATTGATTAATTTTTTCCAGTGATTAAACGTGACACATTTTAGTAAATTCGGTGACCAAACGTGACATTTACCCTATTAAATGCGAGAAAAAGAACCGGGAAAGAAAACACCAAACTAGGATAGACAAACGAAAACCCATTACTTTGAAGATGTCCAAGTTCAACACTAATGGTAAGTTTATTTTTATCATGATAATATACATTATTAGGAGTAATAACTAATAGGACACTAATCACCTTTATAATAAAAGCTAAGCATGCAATGTAAAAAGGTTACTACTTTACCCTCCCTCCTACTTCTTGGCTGTATGTGTTCGCTAATTTGCTTTCTTCCCCCTCCTCAAGTAGTAGTAGGACTTTCGACACACACACAAAACTGAGTGATATTCTTTCAGATTTTTGGTATTTTGGCTGCTTCTCTTCTGTCCATTTTGGTGTGTCCTTGAATAGAATTCAATTCAAAATCGATGCTGCTTTCTGCTCCAGCTTTTCAGTATTGGTGGCACCATTATTAGTGTTGCTGTAATTGTTGTTGGCAGCAGCAGCAGCAGAAGGAGGAGGGTACTTGATGGCATTAAGTTGAAGCTTGCGGAGAGCAGCTTTTCCCAAATCAATCCCGCAGACGTGAGAGAGCCGAACAAGATAGAGCAGCACGTCAGAGAGCTCCTCCCCGAGATGAACTTTTTCTTCTTCCTCCCACCCGGGGAGCCCCTTTGGCACCTCTCCTCTCCATTGGAATATCTCCGATAGCTCACCCACTTCCCCGACCTGCACGTACAGTTATAGTGAGAGAATCAAATCTAATCATATCAACCGCCTCAAGGATCGAAAGAAGCGAGCGAAAGTTGTAAATTAATCAAATAAATCGAGAAAAACGATAGAGAAAACAAAAAAGTCAAAAGGAGATCAATTGAGGGGAGGAGGCAAAATTAAGTAAACCAAATCCACACATACCATAGCCAAGAGCAGGTTCCTTGGGCTGTGGAAACGATCCCAATTCCTTTCCTTGGCAAATTCCGCCATTTTGGTCTTCAGAAGATCGAGGGACACACTACTGATCTCAGCCACTGCCTCCCTCGTCATTTCGTGATCGCTTTGTCGAAGGGAGAATGAAAAACCCCGAGGAAGATCTCGCAGAGGCGAATGTACGTGTTCTGATGGGAGAGAGAGAGAGAGAGAGAGAGAGAGAGAGCAGGGGTTTTTAACTTAAAGGAAGGGGAAGAGAAGCGCGAGATCGACGACAAGGGATGATTGCTCGCTCTGCATTGGAAAGGGAAAAAACAGAATTAAATACTAAAGGGAGGAGGTGACGGTTAAGGCAAACGCTGAGGAGGCGGGGGCGGAGGTGGTGAGGGATATAGACTTTCTTATTTTTTTACCTTTTTCTTCTCCGTGTGCTTAAAAAAATTCCCTTCACTCTTCCTTCACTCCTTGAGAAAATTACGGATGTATTCCTTGCTTTCCTTTTTTAATCCTATCTTAATTAATTAATTAATTAATTAATAAGGAATTGGACCAACCCTGCTTACTATAGAATTGGCCATGGAACAAACCCTACCAAGTCAATACGCTTGTCTTCGCATCGATAATGATGCTTCAACATATACTTGATCTTCAATTCACATTCCTAACCTTTTTTTTTGTTTTTTAATTATTAAAATAATAATTATTTTTCCTTCATTCGTTGGAGATAAACTTCAATTTAATTATTTATATTATTGAATTCATTTCTATTTTTAAATGATTTGAGATCTTATAAATATTTTGTACATAATTTGAAAGTAATATTGATGTTTTTTTTTGTTGTTTGTGATATTATTGGTAATGAGTTCTTATTAAATTTTTTTGACCAAGTCATCCTAGCTTAACATTATCTATCTAATTATTCATATTTTAGATGTAATAATTATTGTCCGTACACATTTTCCAATTCTTATTGTCAGTACAAATTTTTTAAGATGTAATAATTATCTCCAAATACAGTACTCGTAAATAATTATCAACCCTGTTTTTTTTTCTGGACTTTTATTTGACGCCATTAAAATTTAAATTTATCGTCCTAAAATGTAACCAATAGAATATTTTATCCTAAACCAATAATAACGTAACCCAACTCAACCAAAGTGGGTCGTGAATCATTAGGAATGCGAGTGAAAACTATAAAGGGGGATAAATAGAGAGTTTGCATTGGGGTTACGAAGCATAAATCAAAAGAAGGAGAGCGTACGGAGACAATGTAATCTGAACCCACGGGTACCCTCCGACCCAACCGAGTCAACGGGGGTAAAACCCGTGTTGACGGGTTTGGGCTTAAACTCGTTCACTATTCACCGGGTTGGGTATGGGTTTAGGTAAACCCGACCCATGTGTACCCGCCCACACCCATATAATTAATTTTCTCGATATATTTAATATTCTAACCAACTAATCTTATTTATGTTTATGGAGACATGTCTAATTTTTTTCTTTCTAATAGTGTAGAATGAAGTTGATGTTATCGAGTAGAGAGTGAAGAAACTTAATTGAAAGGAAGAAGCTTTAAATTAATCATGTTATTTATGGATAATTTGTAATTTGCTTCAATTTTCTTGAGTTTTATAGATTGGTGTTGAAAAATTTGTATAGTTAATTTGTGATTTGCTTGAATTTTCTAGAATGGTGTTTTAAATATGGACAATTTGTATTGAGAGATTGATATTTGACTTTAATTTTGATAGAAACTTGTTATTGTAATTTTTTTACGACAAAAACCCATGGGTACTTGGGTTTGACCCCGAATTTTTTTCATGGATAAACCCATGGGTTTGGGTTTGGCAAAACACGACCCAACCCGACCCATTGCTATCCCTAATGGCAGCGGCCGAATGGTTACAGCAGAGTGGCTGCGAACTGACAAGGTCTGATTGAGGACATGAAACTCCAGGTGGAAACCCCATGGATCAAGTAGAGTGAAATAAGTAACGACCACCACTTACAGAGGAACGCTGAAGTAGAGTTGAAGAATGAATCGACAGGGGTGGGGTTTGGAAATACAACGGAGCAGTATTGAGGTGCGGCTACAATAAAGAAATGGTTGTGAGCTGAGATTGTGGAAGAAACGATCGATATGACATAGGGGCAGTGGACCGTGAACTGCCAACTGGTAGATGGTAGAGTGATAGAGACCCGCGCAACGGGTAGGGGGTCGGGTTGGGTTTGGCCGATTGGGCCGGGTTGGGTTTTGTTATTCTGTGTTAGTTTCTGAAACTCATAAATAAGGTTCTGCACATTCATTTACGGTTAAGCAATAATAAGATCAAAATCCCTAAATCCCTCTTTTATCTATTCTTCCCCAATTCTATTCCAAATCCCTAATTCTTTCCCAATCCCTAATTCTTCTTCTCAAACCCCAAATCCGACTCTTCTCTATCAATTGGTATCAGAGCCAACATGAGCTCCTCAAGGCTCTCTGATCCTTCTTGGACACGATTGCTGCAGCGAATTGATGCTCTCTGCGCCGACTGGGAAGGGCCGGCGTGCGAGGGAGGCTGCCTAGCGGTGACGGCAGGCGGTCCGGGCGGGCTGGTGCTGGCGACGACGCCACGCGAAGGGCCGTCGGTCGGGGAGGTGGCCGTAGCGCCGGGCGGGCCGGCCGCAGCGGGCGAGCAGCGGCGCGCGTTGCGCACGGGGGCGGTACTCGACCGTGGTGGGTCGCCGACGTCCGGGCACCGAGGCGGCGGGGCGGTGGGTCCAGCGGGAACACTCCGTTTAGTGACCGGTCTGCCTACGCCGGGAACACTCCATTTCCGAGCTGAGATAGCCGATACCACTGCTCTGACATTGGTGGACAGCGGCGCGACTCTCAACTTCATTAGCGAGGAACTGGCTAAGAAACTTCCTCAAAAGCCGAGCGTGGTGGAGTCTATAGTGGTCAAGGTCGCCAATGGCGCCCTGATGCGGTGTCGGGCAGTGTATCGGCAGCTTCCCTTCGAGATTCAAGGGCTTCCCGTCACTGCAAATATGTATGTCCTGCCCATCCGCGGGTTTGACTTGATTTTGGGTGTTCCATGGTTGCAGGAAATGGGACCGGTGACTACTGATTGGCGACATCTGACTATGCGGTTCAAGTGGAGAGATAAGGAGTGGAGTCTGAGAGGGCTCACGACGGCTCTGGGTCCCATTTTGATCCATGAGTGCATTGCGGAGGGCGAGGCTGAGCTAGCAGTCGTCTGCTGGCCCGCAGTGGCAACCGACGCGAAGGAGGTGGCCCCTGATCTGCAGCGGGTACTGGATGCATTCCCAGAGCTCTTCCAGACACCTACCACTTTGCCACCCCACAGGCAGATTGATCACCGGATCCAGCTCAAGGAAGGCGTGGAGGCTGTGAATGTCCGGCCATATCGGTACGGGCACTCACAGAAGGAGGAGATCGAGCGACAGGTGGAAGAGATGCTCGAGACCGGGCTAATCCGCCGTAGCACTAGTCCTTTTTCTTCGCCGGTACTTCTGGTCAAGAAAAAGGATGGGACTTGGCGGTTCTGCACGGACTATAGGGCACTCAATGCTGCGACGGTGAAGGATCGGTTTTCGATTCCCACAGTGGATGACATTCTGATTTACAGCCCATCGTGGGAAGAGCATTTGCAGCATTTGCAGACAGTCTTTGAGGTGTTGCGGCATCACCAGTACTACCTCAAGGCCTCGAAGTGCGCGTTCGGGGTGTAGAAGGTTGAGTACCTGGGTCACATTGTCACACCCCAGGGGGTGCAGGTGGACCAGTCGAAGATATAGGCGATGGTCGAGTGGCTTACCCCGACCACGGTGACGGAGCTGAGAGGTTTTTTGGGCTTGACAGGGTACTACCGGAAGTTTGTGCAGGGGTACAGCATGATCGCCCGGCCCTTGACTAATTTACTGAAGAAGGGCGGGTTCACATGGACCCCGGAGGCGGAGACTGCTTTTCAGCGGTTGAAACAAGCCATGACCTCTACTCCGACTCTAGCTATGCCGGATTTCTCCCGGACCTTTGTGATTGAGGCTGATGCGTCTGGCCGGGGAATTGGGGCGGTGCTATCGCAGGACCGTCATCCGGTGGCCTTTATGAGTAAGACCTTGGCTCCATCCAAGGAGGCTTGGTCTACGTACCAGAAGGAGATGCAAGCTATCATTACCGCAGTACAGATGTGGCGACCGTACCTTCTGGGCCAGAAGTTTCACATCTACACCGACCATCAGAGCCTGAGGAACCTATTGGAGCAGCGCGTTTCCACTCCTGATCAGCATAAGTGGGTCGCGAAGCTCCTAGGCTATGATTATGAGATCCACTACCGGCCAGGCCCCTCCAACGTTGTGGCGGATGGGCTCTCGAGGCGACCGGGAGGCGAGATACTGTCAGCAGTAACGGGACCAGTGCCTCAGTTTTGGGACGCGCTCCGAGCCCTGACAGAGACATATGCATACTTACGAGGCTGCCGGGATACAGCAGTCAGTGAGGCTCCGGGCCATTACTCGTTTTGCCAGGGGTTGGTGTTCTTTCGAGGGCGCCTCGTCCTTCCCCGGGGCTCTTCCCTGGTGACGACCGTGCTTCAGGAGTATCACAATTCCCCTTTTGGAGGGCATTCCGGGGTGGAGTGGACCCTGAGGCGGATCCGGGCACAGTTTTATTGGCCCCAGATGGGGCAGGATGTGAAGGACTATGTCGCCTCTTGTGACACCTGTCAGCGGGTTAAGGCCTCTCATCTTCGGCCGGCCGGTCTATTACAGCCATTGCCGGTACCTGAGCGGGTGTGGGAGGACATCAGCATGGACTTCCTTGTCGGCCTACCTCCACCCGGTGGTAAGACGGTCCTGTTTGTAGTCGTGGACCGATTGACGAAGTATGCTAATTTCATGGCATTGGCGCATCCATATACGGCCCGAGAAGTTGCAGAGCAGTTTGTAATGGGGGTCGTACGCCATCACGGGTTTCCGAGATCAATTGTCAGTGATTGGGATTCTGTTTTCTTGAGCCGTTTCTGGCAGGAGGTATTCGCTCTGGCTCAGACGACATTGCGAATGAGCTCTGCCTACCACCCACAGACAAATGGCCTGACGGAGGTGGTCAACCGATATTTGGAGCAGTATCTGCGTTGTTTTGCCCATCAGCAGCCGCGGCGATGGTTGGCCCAGTTACCATGGGCCGAGAGCTATGGTATAACTCCACATATCATAGAGCGATTCAGACAACCCCGTTTGAGGCACTGTACGGAAGACCACCACCATCATTGGTTCGCTATCAGCAGGGCGCCAGTCAGGTGGATGCGATGGACCGTTGGCTCGGGACTCGGGATGAGGCATTGGAGCAGCTCAAGGCCAATCTGGCTGCTGCCAATAACAAGATGAAGCAGTTGGCAGATGCAGGCAGGCGGGAGGAGGAGTTCGAGGTGGGGGACTGGGTTCTGCTTCGCCTTCACCCCTACAGGCAGGCTTCTGTTTTTCGGCGGGCCTACCAGAAGCTGGCCGCCCGTTACTTTGGTCCCTATGAGGTGCTGCAGAAGATTAATCCGGTGGCCTACCGTTTACAGTTGCCAGCGGATACTCGTATTCATCCTACCTTTCATGTGTCGTTGCTGAAGCGTTATAGAGGAGCCGCGGACCGGGTGGAGACGACGGCGCCGCCAGTTTCTGCCGATGGCGACCTTGTACTTACCCCTGTGCAGGTTTTGGATACCAGATGGGTTCGGAAGGGATGGCGCATGATTGAGGAGAGTCTGGTTTTGTGGCAGCACATGACACGCAAAGATGCTACCATGGAGGAGACTGCCACACTACGACAGCGTTTCCCGACATTCGACCTTGAGGACAAGGTCGCTTCTGATGGGGAAGGGGATGATAGAGACCCGCGCATCGGGTAGGGGGTTGGGTTGGGTTTGGCCGACTGGGCCGGGTTGGGTTTTGTTATTCTGTGTTAGTTTCTGAAACTCATAAATAGGGTTCTGCACATTCATTTACGGTTAAGCAATAATAAGATCAAAATCCCTAAATCTCTCTTTTCTCTGTTCTTCCCCAATTCTATTCCCAATCCCTAATTCTTCCCCAATCCCTAATTCTTCTTCTCAAACCCCAAATCAGACTCTTCTCTATCATAGAGGTAAGGATGGCTGGATGAGTGAGTCGTGGGTGAAGTGATCATGAGCGGAACGCGTTGGCGTAATGTAAAGTACAGTTTTATAACGATTCTTATACGTGTTGAAATCGTATGAGTGAATGGATCCCTTTTCTTAGTGGGATTGAACCAGTTTTCTCCTTTCTTGGCGAGAAAAGACCAGGGGGTTTCTTTGCTAAAATTCTCCTCTCTGATATTCCATAAACTCTGAACTTAAATACATCACGTTTGCAAAGGAAAAAACAACTAAACCCTATTCTTGTGGAACCACTTCCCATGTTCTACTAACAACTAACTACCATAATTATCTCCTAACACAACTACTAATAATAATTAATCCAAGTAAGAAAATATAATAAATCTATATGCATCATTCCTTCCCCCTTCCAAAGAACCTTGTCCTCAAGGATCGAGTTAATTAGCGAATTAATTCAATCCATACGCAACCCAAATCAACGTAAAAGAAGGTTGTTGTTTGCGATACTTCCAATTGCGCTCGATCCCTTCCACACAGCCCCTATCACCGAGAGCTCCAGCTTCCCACGATAGGTCTTGGTTCACTTCATCGCTTCGGTCTTCCTTTGCAGAGGGAACTAGGAGTCCTTGATCAAACCCATGCTTCTTGTCTCTATCCGTATGTGCCACTGGGTATATCAAACTACCACCCAAGCCCCGAGTTCTAGCAGAAGCGAATTCACCAACAGCTCTTGAAGCTACCCAACTAAATTGCTCCACACCCTCATGCCGAATAATTGGCTTTAGTGAACGTTCACCTAATGAGAAACCTAAAGGCATTCCCTTTAACCCATCCAATTGATTCCTCTCGTTAACCAACTCCAACTTTACTTCATTCAAATATCCTTTACCTTTTCTACTTGCTTTCCCATGCATGAAACAAGTCCACAACTTCCCTTGCATTCCTCTAGGATCACATTGTTGAGGGCTCATTAGTTGGCCTCCAAGAGCTGGCGTCCCATCAACATTGCTCAGCAATGGCCCCCTCACAATTGACAGATCCTCTCGTGCGTATCCCACAGCTTGGGCCATGATTGCACTTGGCACAAAACCAATCAATCCCTCATCAACAACTCTACCTGTGGGCTTCTCCGGGTTAACTCCACACCACAAACAACCGGTCAATCCTCCCATGCTCGGGTCGATATGGCCGCGGCTTCCCGTCGTGCTGTGGCTTTGGTCGCCATCTTCCGCCCGCTTCTTTGTATATTTCCAATTAACCAATGAATTGAGTGAGGTAAAGAGCTTACCGACGTCGTAAGCTATTCCTCCCAACCTTCCCTCAACTCCACTAATGATGAACGAGGACGTGGGCTCTGGATGATCAATGAATACGATGGATTGTTGTTGCTCCTCATAATGATGCTTTAGGGCGTGATGTGGTTGTACATGAGCGGTAATAATCCCGCTCTCTCGGGAAACAACGGCGTCCTCCAGGACTACATCGGGGGCATCAACGACATATTCTTCCTTGACCTCCACCGACTCAGCTAAGGCTTGCGACGGCGCTGGCGTGGTGGCTTTGTCACCACCAACAATGACAGTGGCAGGTGAGGACGGCTTCTCCTTTATGGCGAGTCTAGGTGTGGCCACGGTTAACAACATCATGGGTTCTTCGGTCACCAGATCAATCTCCTCGACGATAGGTGAAGTTGTTGCGGGCGAGACGGACGACATCGAACGTGCAGATGGCGCAACATCGAAATCTTCTCTGCCTTTCTCTATCGACATAGAAACTTCAACGTGTGGTGGTGATGTGGTGACTCTATTGGAAGCCTTGATGGCTCTACGACAAGCTGCCATCGCTATATCCAAGGACGTCATCATTCGATTGATGAGTTCATCTCTTGATGGTTTCTCTGATCTCATCATGATCGAAACACGGATCGATAGCTCTGATACCAAATGATACGTGTTGAAATCATATGAGTGAATGGATTCCTTTTCTTGGTGGGATTGAACCAGTTTTCTCCTTTCTTGGCGAGAAAAGACCAAGTGGTTTCTTTGCTAAAATTCTCCTCTCTGTTATTCCATAAACTCTGAACTTAAATACATCACGTTTGCAAAGGAAAAAACAACTAAACCCTATTCTTGTAGAACCACTTCCCACGTTCTACTAACAACTAACTACCATAATTATCTCCTAACACAACTACTAATAATAATTAATCCAAGTAAGAAAATATAATAAATCTATATGCATCAGATTCATGATGATTATATAACAATTTTGGACTCTTTTGCGTGGGTTGGGAATGCCTAATTTCATGTGTCCTTGGGACTTGGGAGATAGTTGAGAGAGAGAGAGAGAGCAAGGAATTAAAACTAGTGGGTAAGACTTTACATGGCTACTGCTCTATGTAATGATAATGGATTAGTAATGATGGATTGTACAATTCGATTGACTGTGTAGAGTGGAGAATACCATGTCAATAAGCTTATTAAATCGTAGAAATATGAACACAAGACATCAGATTTACGTGGTTTCCCCAACGATGATCGTTGGGACTAATTCACGGCACAAGGCAGAGTTTAGGTTTCTTATTCTCACGTATAGCTTAAATCAATACTTGGCCTTCACAACATATACATACTCGGCCAAGTATCACCCTAAACAGGGTTAATTACAAAATGATACTTCTAACTTCTAACAGTGAATGCCATCAGTGGGTGGCTTTTTGTGTGCATATGTGTATTGGCAGTTGGTTCGCAAGGCCATGAAGGAATGGTTGTTTTGGGTGGCTATGCCGAAAAGTCAAGGAGTGGTTGTGTGCTAATTTGATGGTAGTTCAAGCAGCTCGACTTGAATACTAAGGTGAGTGTTAAGAGGGTAAATTCTACACTTTACGATGTTTAAGTTTTTGAGATTGGCTGATATATGTGATAAATCTACCTATGCATGTTTGTATGTGATGCATGTGGTCACGTGTGAGTTTTATTTCCAGTTATACATTTTATTACATGCTTTACTTACAAGTAAGAAGGCAGGGATAGTAGGGTAATTTTGTGTAAGGCTAGGGTGATAAATTCAAAATTTTAGAGCGACAAATATATCTCTTTTATATATAGAAATCCACACTCAGCTTTATTTATCAGACGAAACCGTTACATCATCCAACATAAGTTGATCAAGCAGAAATCCGGTGGGCGATCAAACCACACTTCCGCCTCATCTCATCTAGTCTGAATGTGACATTACATGCGCAAGGTTATTTCATCCCTACTCACATATCCCACCATACCTCGATTTCCCCCCAGTAAGCGTCAGATATTGAGACAGATAATGCCCAATTTTGTTTGCATAGAATCAGGTTCGATTATGATTTTAGCAATTGTGAGAATATCAAGCTCCAGAATCGGCCTTCCTAGTTGATGTTGTCGGGCAAGCTGCATACCGAACTCTGTTGCCAATGCTTCGCGCAGATCTGGTTCAGTGGCGCACCTGATCTTTTTTGCTGCCGCTAAAAAAGTAGTTTACCAGTATGGTCCTTGATCACAATGCCTAGCTGATATCAGTCGAGGCTCTAACTACCAGACTTAAACAATCACAAACGCAGTGAAGATCGGTTAGAAGCACAACGATCACAAAAACGAATAATAATCCAAACCAAATGCACACGTTGGGAAGAGGGCCGGGTATGCGAATGACTATTCGGCTAGGGTGATTTGCTAGCAGAAAACATTGGTTTCCTCTTGTTGAATCTATTTAGCGATCAAGAAAGAAGAAGAGAAGAAGTTGGTGTTTCAACACTCAATTTCTAGGGTTAGGTTCTGAATAAAATTGTCGATTAACCTCCAAAAGACTTAGTTCAACCCCTTATATAGGCTACAAAAGTTTTGGGCCAAAATAACAAGGAAAACTCGAATATTGGTTCATAACTGACCTAATCCGAAAAGGAATGATAAAACTCGGTGGTTTGCATAACAATGCCATCCCGGATCTCCGCTCGCATGCGCTAAAATCCCTGATCAGGGGGTTTGTCTTCTCGCCGGGGGGTGGCTCCGGACTGGAGCCCTCATCTAGGCCTCCATTCCTTGATCGGGGGTCTTCTCCTCCATGGTCGGGGAATTAGAATGAATCAAAACCTTTAGTATCCTAATCATCATTGATTCTTTTTATCTTAAAACATCACTTACTAGTGAATCAAAGGACGATGGAATGGTAGAGAGACCCTTAACATATTCAGAGGAAGAAATAAAAAATAGTCTTACACGTATATGTACTTGAGACATCATAGCGCCAAACCATATAGTCAACCACATGAAAAACTGGTAGGAAAATAGACTTAATACACAATATCTATATAAAAAGACCTTGAAGGATATCTTTTTTCCAAGTACCATTGAAACGACCTAATCCTTTTTGAAAACCAAACCACAACTCAAACCACAAACCGGTTACTCCGGCGCAACCCAAAACGGTTTCGAAGTCAAAACCAAAAGTCAACAACCACAATGCTTAAGATTTTCAAGTGAAATGCCCTAAACTCTTGGGCGACCTCAACCTAGAACAAAAAAATATAAACACAACCCTTGAGTTTCCCAGTATACTCATTAAGACATGAAACAAAAGACAAATATAATGGGAGGTCCCCTCTCGTTACCCAGATCCAGTTGACATCTTCAGGTTAGCTGCGACTGCTCTCCTCGGCTAATCTCCTCCTGATGGATGTGTCCTCTTCCCTTCTATGCACCTGGTGAGTGAGAAGGGGTCAGTCTCGTCGTTACTCCCTAAGGTCTTTGCCCTAGGCCAACTCCTTACTAAACACGTTATTAGGGGAATGCCTTCCAAGCATGAAAGCCGATCTCGCTTTCTGCTCTTAAATAACCGTTCTTATCAACTCATTCAACATTAACTCATAAAAGTTCTCGACTTCTATCATGATCTCAACACAAAACTCTAGGACCACCGCGTAACGTCTCGCCGTCCGGTGTCCTACCCTCGTATGCCAACCGCGTTACGTCTCGCCGTCCGGTTGCATATCCAAACTCGGCAATGGCACTGCGTTACGTCTCGCCGTCCAGTCCATGCCCGTCAACAAGTGCGTTACGTCTCGCCGTCCAGTAGTGACCCAACCGCCCGGGGGTTCCTCATACCATCAACCATACAACATCACATACATCCATACATAGCACAACGCGTGCCTCCACCCTTACAGGCGGTGGGATGCCTCACACACATAGCGCGCATACTAGAAAAAATTAACTAAATAATAATAACTCGAATGAAAAGCATAAACTAAAATGACCTCGACGGAGATTTTACCCCTTTACACTAACCTCGAAAAGATGACTCCTCAATTCCTTCCTTGAAGAAACCCCTCCTTAGCCGGATTATCTTGGGGAAACCTATTAATAAGAATCTATTTCTTAGACGACCTTTCTTGATTTAAAACTCCTTTTGAATCACTAGAACATCCTCTCCTCAAAATCCAGTCCTTGAACCTCATTCCAAGGGTCAATTAACCCCCATTAAAATTTTCTAGAATTAATCCTTTAAAAAACGACCATTTTTCTTAATTGTTTCAGTCTTGGACGGAATTTCCATCTAACTTGAACCTTCTTAAAAATTCGGATAATAATTTTCCTACATCAATCATGAATACTTACCCTGGAAAATTATCAAACCCTTATGAACTCCTCGGAAATATTTTTATTTAATTAAAACAAATGTTAGAACAATTTCTAAAAATAGAAATACATCTTCAAAAATCCCCAAATTAAATTACAGCCATCTCCTCGAGCTCCCCCAATCTATAAAATTATTGAACCTAGGAACAAACACCAACAGAGACTCGAAACAATTAAAACGTCCAAAAATACGTTTCTGGAAATTTTCAGCAGCTTTAGTGACCACCCAAAATCTGTCACTAAAAGCCTGTAACGCCTGTTGCTAAAACCTATAATTGCACCCTCACGAAAAATCACCAAATCGATCGAGTTCCCTTACCTTTAGAACGTGCCTAGGCCTAGGTTGGATGACCCGGGACATTGATCGCCTTGCTAATCGAACCCTCAACGTCACCGCTAATAAAAATCCGAGCTTCGAATTAGTCTAACGACGAATCGAGTTTAGAAATCGCGAAGGGGTTCGTGATCTTTACCTAGAACGAAAGGGAAGGGGTCGGGGTCGGGATCAGGATCGGGGCAAGCTCCTTCTTTTCCTTCTCGTTTGCAGCGCTGCTGCTTGGCGGGTTTAAATCCCTGGGGCGATTAATTGAGAAAGGCGGCGGGGAAATATGAGGAGGGGAGGGGTCGGCTGCTGGGGGGATTTGATTTTTGGTGGATTTGCTGGGGAGAATTAAAGTGGGGAAGTGTTTGGGGCCGCTTGGCCCCGACCCAAGAATATATATATATTTTTAATAATAATATAATAATAATAAATATTATTATTATAATATTATTATTCTTAATCCGCGATTGTAACTCTTAGTACGCAACCGTCAATCCAACCGATTTCAAAATAAGGTCGAACCTAAAACCAAAATACCAGGGTGTTACAACCATGGTGATAACACCCAAATTAGTGTTATTTGCCCTTCATATTTAGGTTTATTTCGTGCTAATTCATGTGCATAATCGTTGAACAACATCGATTGCATTCCTATTTTGTTCCTATTTTATTTCGAAGTGATTTTAGGGTGATCTAGACAATACATGCGAATTAGGTATGAAAAAGGACAAAAGTGTAGCAAAAGGGGCAGAAGACTGAGGATCACAACCTGGAGATGGAGATCACAGTCGAGAACCCTGCCTGCGAACTCAAGGTGAAAATCGCGGCCGCTAATCAGGAGGCTCAGGGCGCGAACTTCATGAAGAAGCAGTCGAGGAGAAACAAATAGTTTTCCCAGTCCAATCACGACCATAGTGCAAACAGACCGCAAGGAAGTTTGCAGCCACGACTCATGGATCACGACTGCGAAGTCAGCCCGCGAACCCGTCCCGTATGAAAACCAAAACGGCAGCATCAACAGATCGCAGCCTCCATGAAGAAGTTGGCGACCGCGATATTTACTCACCTGGCTGTGAAGTTGTCCGTCTTCTAAAGGTTATAAATAAAAGACCCCTTCCCCCAATTGGGAGAGTTGATTTTAACATAGAATTTCTAGTTTTAGAGAGAGAGAAGAGAGAGAAGCTGAAGGAAGGAGAAGAAAAGAAGAAGGAGGAGGAGCTAGAAGAAGAGGAGCCATCTTCCTCAACATCAAGTCTTCCCCAATCTCTTCTATTTATCTTCTTCCCTCCTTCATGGAGTAGTCCTCTAAAGTACTAGGGGTTCTAAACACCAAACCAAAGTTTTAGGGTTACTTTGTGATGAATGGATATTTTAGAGTTTTAATGAGTGAATGTGTTTATCTTAGTTAATTTGAATGCTTTCCTAGCTTTGATTGTGTTTGGGTAAATTGCCCTAATATTCTCTACTAGCCTAATGAGGGTTAGAGGGGTATGCGCCATTGACTCGATCCAACTACAACATCCCGATCGACGGTCAAGTACAACCGCCGACCGGTTGTAGTATAGGGCAAGCAAGCAATAAAGATTTATCATACCATGGGAATCTAGGCTTACCCTACTTCAGGTTTTGGGTTCGTTATCTAGCAAACCTAGGATAGTGATTAATAAAACTAAATTAACCACTAACCTAGCTGTTTACAAGGTTTGGAGCTCTCTTGGGTTGAATCGTCCTAGGTGCGTCCTTTGGATCGATGTTGGCTATCCTCCTAGCTCGATCGAGTCAAATACTCTACCGTTAGGAGATGGACTCCCTCGGGAATGATCTGGAACGATGAATCAATGAATGGGGTGTGCTCTATTCAACCTAGGGCAACCCTATATCGTAGAAGATTGATGGAATTGACTCCTTCGGGGATTACCCGAACGATATAGGATGAGGAGTGACCCCAAGACGCCAATAATAGGCTCTCATGGGATTTTCTCCCTCCTAGGTCAAAAGCTCAAAACATGAAAATGGAAACCCAACTCATTTAATTCATTAAAACATCCATCAATTAAGTAAAATCATCAATCAAACATGGAATTTGTCACATATATCAACACCAAACTAAAACTAAACCTAGGGTTCTTAAACACAAGAGAAGAGGGTGAGTTTCTAGAGAGAGAAGAGAGATATTACAAATTGGAGCCCAAGATCTTCTTCTTCTTCTAGGCTTGATTCCTTTCTTCCAAGCATGATCAATGCCTTCAATTAATCTCCAAGATCACTCAAGCACTCTCTCTCTCTCTCTCTCTCTCTCTCTCTCTCTCTCTCTCTCTCTCTCTCTCTCTCTCTCTCACACACACACACTAGAACTCCCCTTTGGTGTATTGGGTCGAAACCCTAGAGAGAATCAAAATTTTCTCCAAAAACTAGCTCTCCCTTCTCTCTTCCCGTTGCTGTCTTTTATACAACCCGAAAGTGTCGACATCACGATTACTGTTCATGATGGTGAACTTGGAGGCTTGGACCTTGATCTCGGAGAAAAACACAGTATTTTGGGCCACTTCACGGTCTGGGGTTTGAGTTGGACTCCAGTGAGACGGTAAACCGCTCTAGAAATCGGCCACTTCACAGTCTGGGGGTGATTATCACGGTGCTAAGACCATGATAAATGAGTCCAGACCATGAAGTCATACACTTCACTCCCTGGGGGTGATTTTCACGGTCTCAGGGCGTGACATTTGCCTCCAGCCCGTGAACAGTGCTCAGCCTCCACTTTTTGGCTTGTTTTGACATCCGAATGACCCGAAACTCGTCCCGGACTTTTCCACATGTACTAGGACCTGAAATGTGACAAAAGAAGCACAAACTAGCATAAAATAGGTCGAGGGACGATGATAACGAAGTCAAACAATCAAGAAATGAGTGCTAAAATATGTGTAATTGAGCCCGAATCAGCCATCAAGCAAATTGAGGTTAGATGTATGAATAGGCGACCGTACCCCTGCCATAGAAATGCCTTCTTGGATAGAACCCGAGATAAACCCTTGGTGTGGACGGTGGGTAGTACCCATTGAAATAAGCTATGACCTTAATGCCCCAGATACGATAGCCTAGATCGAGGTGACTGACAGGAGTTTTGGGGGCGCGTACTTGGAGGCGTGTGGATAACCACGAATGCCCACGGAAAAGAGATCACTCACCACATTCGACAAACCCTATCTATCTAGACATTACATAGTAATCCTAGACTAGGGTGAGGGATAGTTCCCCCAAGTACCTGCTTTTATCTTTATTTACTCTCTTAACTAGTTAATTTGCTCGAATCCTCCAACACAAA